AATGAATTCCAGGTGCTTTGGATCATTTCAACAAAAGCTATGCAGACTTGATTTTTCTCCATCTTTTCTCTGATATCTGCTAGAAACTGAGTCCCTCTGTGATCATCTGGGATAAGCAGCCCAACCCAGGTCCATCCAAAATGAAGCATCAAAGAGACCATGGCAAGAGATAGAGAGGTGCCTTTGTGGGCCATCTGGTAGAGAGAAGTAAACTGACCTGGGTCACTGAAGATAAGTTCAAAAGGACCAACAGTGAGCTGAAGAGAAAAAATGGAAACCAGAGAAAGAACAATGGCATTATGCACAATCATTGTTCTGCAGACACAGATGGAAATGGTTAGCACAATGATGGATTCACCCTGATTTTAAAGGCAAATTTCTGTGACAGAAGTTTTCAGAAAATTACTGGCCTATTTTCTATTTTTATTAATCCTCCTTGTCTACTCCAACCTCCTCTTTCTTTTCTCTGTACCTGAAATAGAGGTCCATCTCCAATTGTCTGGACAATTGTCATTGATATCTACGTAATCCAAATATACCTTTTTACCTATGGACACACCTGAAATGTCAGCAAAGGAGATCTTCATTGTTATCCCATACAACTCCTCACCTGTGGAAATTTGTAGAGCTGAAGCAGTGTCCCAATATGGGCAGATTTTGCCCATGATGGTCCTGTTATTGCAGCAGTTGACTTTCTCTCCTTTTCACAGTTATAATTACAGTGAAGGCTGTGAAGATTACTCAGGCCTGTGAGCCAAATAAGAGCATTCATAAGAATGTTTTTCTCACTGTATGGGACATTATAGAAGTCAAATCCCATAGATATGTTTGGTAAAAGATGAGGGTTCCTGTTGATCTCCTCAATGGCAAATACCAGTGCCAGAACTAACTGGTGTATTTTAAAATTATACCTACAGAGATTAAATAAAAACATACCTGAAGAAATTACAGACCACACAGCACTGCAGATTCCAACCACAAAGACTATGGCCAGATTCCAGAATTTCTGGGTCTAGCTGTGTATTTCAGTGTTTGTGGAAACTGCAATGCCTCTATATATATGTACACAGTAGGAGAACTAAGCCCCTAATCTTGACTGAGATTAATGAAAGATATTCAAGTCTTTAAATATCTCTGAATTTGGCTCCAGCCCTAGAACTTCTAGATGCCTCAAAACGTTTTCAAGGCCAGTCCATGACACAAAAAACAAAGGCTTTTTACCCAAATGTTGGGACCATGGAAATTCCCTGTGATACGTCAGTCCAAATGATTGGACCCTGTAGCCACAGGATGGCCCATCTGTCAAATATATGTGGAGAGTACTGCTAGCTTAATAAAAGAATGCAATCGAGGTAAATGTGCTAAGATCTGATAGGAAAAATCAGGTCTTCTACTGAGGAAAAAAAATCATCAACTGTTTAAGGACTGTTTGACACAGTACAAGATTCTACTCCTGGCCACAACTTGAGTTCAGGTTGTCATCAATCTAGGTATCCCTCTTGCCTGATGATGACCTACAGGTGCTCTACAAGACTGTCACAAGATGAAAGATGAAACGAGGAACGTGGGAACTGCAATACTGCTTTTAATAAAATTATTTGTGCCTAAACCAGGAATCTCATCCCACGTAGAGGAACTGATTCATCTAGCCCAGTAATTTACATGGGGAAAAGGAAACTCCACTACTATATACATGGACCATCAGTTGATATGATTTTACAAGTGGGTATGTCAACTGTGTGATCTATAGAGAAAGTTGGCTCCTCACTGCTGGAAAAAAGGACATTAAAAAATCATGGCCCTCCTAGGGGCTATGTGGCTTCCTCTAGAAATTGCTGTCCTTCTTGGGCACACAGTTTTACTCACTGTCTGACAGATGACACTAAAACTTATTGATGTTCTGATGACACCTACCACAAATCAGTACTACCTGATTTGTAACCAAGTAACCAAGAAAAATAGTGGAAACCAAGTTTTCTTTCCTAACAGATTTTATATATATATATATATATATATATATATATATATATATATATATATATTTAATGCATACATTTTGAGAGTTTCTTACATGTATGTACTCTTATGAGCACATTATATTCATAATCCCTGTTATATTTTCCATGAAAAGACATCAGAGGTGCTCAAAGCCTCCAACCACTAAGCAATGATAAGGGGATGAAAACTTTAATCACAAAATCTGATGAGTACATGTTAGATCTCTGCCTTTTTCTATATATAGAACAACAAAAATTATGTCCAGTTCACATATGATACTAAAATGTGGGTTTTTCAGCTTTAATGCTTTATTATTAGATTTTTAAAATGAAAAAAGCACCAAGATAGGTCTGAAGAACATCATACCAGTTGCTTGTTAGAGGACAAGGGAAGAGAAGAAGGACAGCCATACTTAACTACTTGAGTTAAGCATATATGGGGGTCAGACAGAGATGGAGAAGCCACATTGCAGGGAAAATGGCTTCAGAGAAAGAGAAAGGGAGTCCAAGATATCACAGAAGCATAGTTAGGATCTGACCAGGACCCAAAAGAAAGAAATAGAAAGAAAAAAATAAAATTAGGATTTTTCTGAATGAGCACTCAGCAGTGTTCAAAACCAAGGAAAGTTATGACATACTCAAGTACATAAATATTGTGGTCTGAATATTCACTCTCAGTATATACAAGAAAGCTTAATCCCATCTCCTATGTACTAGTTGAAATTGATTTTGGATTTTAATATATTTCATGCACATTAATTTTTAAAAATTTTGACTAATGGGAAAAACTTAAGAAATTGGCAAAAATGGTGAGAAATAAAAATACAAGATTCTTTCTCTTCCTAAATATATTTTAGTAACCTATGATGTACCATATTGTCAATGGATGATTGCTGTAGAAGGTGGACAGACATATTGAAAGGTTTGGAAATCTGAGAATGTGCTGTAGGAATTATTGTCCCTGCATTGCATAATTTCAACTGGATATCAGAGATGTCATTATTTATTTATTTAATTACATTAGATACGAGAGTGACATTGGAAAATTTCATGTTTTTTAATATTATCAGACAAAATCAGTGTAAAATAATCTGAATTATTCTGAATGTGAATACAGTGATAGATAGACACATGTATTTCTGCAAGTGACACATTGAGGTAAACATTGAAGGAATTCCCATAGTGCTAACAATGACATCCATCAGTACTGCGAGAACCCAAAAACATTCTTGCACCAGGTAGGCTTGTGTGTATCTGATTAGCTCTATGTGTGTTTCTTGCTCTGTTGTAAAATGCTATGGCAGATTACACATTTTTTTTTTGAAACACCCTAAGAAAAAGGGAGCTAGCAAATTAGATCTCCATGCTAATGAAAAATACAAAGTGATGATAAACAAAGAACAGTGGCTAAAACAGAATGGACACCACCCACAGAAGGGCTTTCTAGTAAATTAATGCAGTCCACAGAGACCTTCCTACCAGGATGTAGAGAGCATTCAAAGTTCACTGTGCCCACATGAAGAGAAAATGTCACAGAGCTTCAATTCATGGAAAGAAGGCAATCAGTTATGAGGCCACAGGCAAGGAGGGAAGAGATCAGAATCATGATATAGATAGGTATCAAGATATTTTCACTGCTAATACATAAAAGGAAGAGAGACTGGGAGGAAACATGAAAGCTGAATTTACTGTCTGAGTTAAGCTCCAGAAAAATTGATAGTTATATCACTTTATTGATTTTTTTCAATTTCCCAAAAATACAATGTATGTACATTTATGTTTATGTGGTGTTACTCTTAACTATTTGTCTTGAAAAAGATAATAAAAGCATTTATTGCTATTATTAAAGAGCAATGTTGATAAGTCTTGGTCATTCCAAGTTAGGGTATTTGTTTGGAAATTTTTATATTTTATAGTTAAAGTTTATCCTGAAAGTTTCCTGAACATGACTGCTGAAACATGATATAAATTGAGAAGACAATAATAGAAATACCAATGTGGCTGGGAGAAAGATCATAGGGTCTTATTTATATACAAAGAACTAGAGGCAACTAAGGAATATCAAAAGTCAGAGAAATAGTCTTCTACAGGGAAAAGCAAAGCCGTTGAATATCCAATAGCAAATGTTCATCCTCAAAACTATGCACAGGAGTACATTTGTGTAGACTGATCTGTTTGTAGTTAGGAATATATATATATATATATATATATATATATTCAGGATTTGTCATATGGAAAAAAAATGTACTTTACCTAGGGCAAAAACCTAGCACTGACTATAGGATGAGTTTGATGTGGACACACACATGGTGGGAGGTTAAGTTGTCCTTCCACAGATGATCTCTCACCAGCATGTGAGACCTAAGGTATGAGTGTGCATGGACACATACCAAAATTTTGATAAAAATGCCTTGTAAAATCTATATCATGTGCAGTCCAATAGACTAAGTCGTGTTGCCTCAAAAGAAAACTTACAATAATCTGGAAATTAATATGTAATTTTACATTTGTATATCATATAATCTGAATAGTTATAATGGTCCTAAAGTAAAATCTGTTTAAAAATTTAGCCACCACAAAAACCAATGTAGTGAAGTAAAATTCCTGCCCAAAGCAAATAAGTTTTGTAATCTTGATAATTAAGAAGATATTTTGTAGGCATGAAAAAATGCTATGCATGAAGAGAGACAAAGAACCTTAGAGAGCAGACATATTTCCTCTTTGAAAACATATATACACTCTCACAGTGTAATAAAGGATGTAATCACAAGCCTAACAAAATAATTTTAGCTTTGAGATACATATACTTCTTGTTCCCCAACTTGTATTAAAAATTAGGAAAAGTATTGTACAATGGAAGATTCTGAGGAAGGAATGGAAAGGGAGAAAGACACGCATATTGCTCTTTTGTAGTAACAAAATATTTCCCTAAGACAAACTTAATTTTATTTCTGACTTAGTAAGAAACAACCTTAAGTGGCCATAATCTTGTCATTGAGTCTTATGACCATGAAAGTGAGATTAAAACTTGTTAGAAATTCATGGAAACACATGTAAAAGAGAAAAATGCTTCTGGTAGTAAAATATTAGTAAATAATTAATTTCACTAAACAGGCATAGCTGTTTTGACAACAAGAAACCATTGACAACTTCTAAATTTGACACCTTACTGCTAATTCAGTGGTATCTAGCAGATGCAGACTTGCTACTCTACCATCTCATCCCTCCATGGTAACAACTTTTGGTGGCATCACCACTTTTTACATGAGTACATACAGACTTCTAGACTGTCCTGAAGAGCCAGGTAAACTTTGATAAAACCATCCTCCCTCTGAAGACCTAATATGAGAAACATGTGGCTGTAAAGGCATGGCCAAGTAAGATCCAATATTTCAATTGTCATATTTGGAAACAAATATCAACAAACAAACAAGCAACTTATTGTATCACATCTTTGAGAATAGAAAATAAATGAAGAATAACATACGATTAAATAAGGATTTTTTGATTGGAAGAGGGTTTTTTCATGATAAAAATAAGAAGCATAGGAGCTTGAATACACATATCACCTGGGGCATTTGAAACATGAAAGCTGAAACAGCATAAATGAATAACAACACTTACTGTATGTGAAAGTCGTTGTAAACGTTTGGCAGATAATGATGTGGAATTTTGTTGACTGTGTACATAGTATGAACTGGGAGAAATATACCAATGTTTACATCTCCTTCATGGTGAAAATCTTCTTTGATTCTGAAATAACACTCAGAGGAGCTGTAGGCATATGTATGACTGAGATTAAACAAGATCCTGACAATAATAACCAAAAGAAAGCATCCCAACAACACACATGTCTTCTCAGACATAAGTCTGATGGATCCAGATCTCACAGTGTCCAGCAAGTTTATACTTAGCTCAAGTGATTGTGACCATATACGCTTCTAACTTTGTTGATGGGCAAGGCTGTCACAGTAACCAAGAGAGCTGTCACATGCTGAACACTTTCTTATACCTCCTCCACTGCCACTGAGAATTCTGGAACTCTTTCTTCCCTTGGGCTATGCATCTGAGGCCCTGTATTCAGGTGAAAAACAAGCTGGACAATATGTTTATAGATTTTGTACTGCACCCATAGGCAACATGATTTCATCTAAAACAACAGGCAGTAAGAGCTGAGGGATGAATTCCTCTTTGGATAATTTGGTCACAAGAATGAAGCAAGAAACTTTTCATATGAAAACAACTGAGATTGCTGTTAACAGTCTACATCTAAGGATGACATTCTAAGTGTAATGGGTAGAGAAAGGGCCAAAATCCCATGATGAATGGAACCCAATGATTGAGACATCATGATTTTCCAAGTCAAAGGAAGTCGGTGAATTCTACCTTGTTCAGTGTCCATGTCTCAGAGATTCTTTGCTTCTCTGATACATCTGTATATACATATTAATAAAATGTCCACATCCAGTAAAATCCGTTTATTTCTCACATTGAGAAAATTAATTACCTTTCTAAATTATTCAGTTCCAAATGGACCAACTAACTGAGACATGAAGTTTCCTTTTTAGATTGTATGCTTTGAGCTACTTTACCTCTGCTGTCCTAGTTAATCCTCAGGAAATAATTGGGTAGATGTGCTGTTCTGATAAATACCTGTACCTAGTGCAGACTGGTTTACCAGCTACTTACTCTGTTCTGAGAACATGAGGATGATAGAAAATCTTACTCTTTTCTTTATAAAGCATAATGATTTTATAGCCTCTAAATGTACTCTTCACCTAATAAACCAAATGAACCTGTAATGTGCAGCGTTCTATTTCATAGTTCACAGGTTAAGTTAACACAATGAAAGTCTTTTGTATTATGCTGTATCAAAGAATGGATGCCCAACACATTAATTAATAAGTTCCGTAAAGAAAGGACTGAAGAATAGAGTGAGTAAAAACCCACAGACAATTGTCTGAGGATTGATAACCATTATCATTTCTTTTTCAGTCATGTGCATTAGAAGACAAAATGAAACATCAAAATAGTCCAGTTGGCAATGAAATTAGTAAATCCCTCCATCACCTTTGTTTCAGGAATATAGAAAGCAAGAGGAACTGAGTTAACCAAACAGGATATCTAGATGCTTTGTGAATGTCTTCTAAGGGATTGCTATTTATGCACAACACTATTTGGACTTTGTCACTTAGATCCTATGATGTGTTGAATTTTGTTTTAGCATAATATATCTCATTTTATATTTTTTGTTTCCTCTTAGAAGCTCATTCTTTTTAAATGAGAGGCAGAAATCAAGTGGATCTCGATATGATGGAAGAGTGGGAGGGACTGGTATGAGTAGTGGGCAGGAAAATTAATCAGGATATATTGTATAAGAAAAGAATCTGTTTTTAATAAAAGGAAGAGAATTAAGAAGAAGAAAGTTAAGTGGTTTCACATTAATGGACTAGATACTTATTCTTATAATGAATTTGCTTATCCAGAGCATAATGCACATGCCAAAACTAACTTTGAGTGCCTTAATGAGTATCTTACATACATCATGGTATTCCAGACAACATTGGTTTTTTGTTTGTTTGTTTCATTTGTGTATGTGTGTGTGTGTGTGTGTGTGTGTGTGTGTGTGTTTATATGTGTGTTTTTATTTGCTTTTTCCCAATCAGTTTCCCCTCCCTCTCCTCTTCACAGGTTCTCCTCTCATCACTCTTCACCCAACAGACCCATCCAGTTTTCCTTCCCTGTTTCTTTCCAGATACATTTGGGCCTCCCATGGATATCAGCCAGCCATGCCATAAAGTTCCAGTAAGATTGGGCACCTTCTCTTCTATCAGTGCAAAAGAGTCAATCAGATGGAGGAACCAGGTAACAGAGTCAGACACAGCCCCTCATCTCACTGTTAGGAGTCACACAAGAAGACTAAGTTATACCACTGTAACATATATGCAGAGGGTTTACATCACTCCATGTTGGAGAGATAATTGGAATCTGGGGGCATTTCTCCAATGATCTAGAAACCTAGAGAAATGGAAACTTCCAGGAATAGATGAGGTTGACACTAGCCAAGTCTCTTAGCAATACAGGATATGGAGACTAAACCAGCCATCTCCTGTAACAAGGCATATCTTTCGGTAGAGAAACCAGGACACTAATAGAGCATTATTTCTTACAAAGGACCTCTTTTCACAGGAAGAGAATTACAACATTAGGCCCATATTCATGGAAACCACCTGTTTAATGTGTCCTCTACCATCCTTTATCAATAAGCATGGTGTAATGGTAAAATAGCTTTTCAAAGGTAAGATGCCATTTATGTGGTGTTTGCATAATGGGCTGTTACAGTGCTTTCCAGAAGGTGGTATATGCTTTGAATCAGGATGCAGTGCTGTGGGATGTTCTTTATGGCAAATGTGTTGCTCTGATTGGTTAGTAAGTAAAACACTGATTGTCCAGTAGTCAGACAGGAGGAAGTATAGGCGGGACAAGGAGGAGAAGAATTCTGGGAAGTTGAAGGCTGAGTCAGAGACACTGCCAGCCACACCATGAGTCATGAACCATCTGGCAAGGTATAGATTTATCGAATGGGTTAATTTAAGATATAAGAACAGTTAGCAAGAAGCCTGCCATGGCCATATAGTTTGTAAGCAATGCAAGTCTCTGTGTTTACTTGGTTGGGTCTGAGCAGCTGTGGGACTGGCAGGTGACAAAGATTTGTCCAGACTGTGGGCAAGGCAGGAAAACTCTAGCTACAAATGGCACCCAACGAGTTGGCAAGAGTTTCCACCTAAAAAAAAAAAAACCTGAGAAAAGATTCTAAAATGGAGCTAAAAACAGCTTCCTATTTGTCTCTCTCAAATGATCGGCAGCTGCTGGTTTGAGCTACTTGTGGGTTCCTAGCTTGCACACTCAACCTGCAGCATGGCGGGAATGAGGCCTTTGCAAGTGGCACATTAAGCTGCATGGTGGATTTAGCATTTGCTAGTACAAAACAAAAAAGAAGTTTCTGGGCTACATGCTGCTTGGATAAAAGCATAGACCCACAATAGCTCCCAGAGCTGGTGGTAAACACACCACCACCATGTTGGGAAGCTGAGGTGGGTGGAGCCAGCAGCCATAGCACTGTTTCAGTCTTACATATGCTGAAGTTTAGAGCAATAGATTCACAATAAGACAGATTCAGATGTAATAGTTTACAATGTGTGTAAAATATACGTAGGCTTGAAAGAGACAAAAAAGGTGATATATACAGTTATATAAACAAATACATAGTTTTAAAAAATAAAGTCTTTAAAGAGACAGTAAAATTAATATAAAAAATAAGCCACGTAAAGATGAATATTACACAGAGAATCTGGATTGTGTTGTCTTTGGGATTTTTAACTGCAGAAAAACATTGGATCGTAAAAGATGTTGAGTTACACCAATATGTATATATTAATGATACCTTGACTTCAAAATTTGAATGTAAGGATGTGTTGCTTTGGAAAGGAGACTCTGCATTTGTTCCCACAGAAAGCCAGAGGCTATGGATTTGTTCCAGATTAAGATACATCAGGTATGCCCAGCCAAGACCCCCAGAAAGGTCTCAGATGACACCATGGCCCAGATGATCCAACATCCAGAATGGTTTGAAGGCAACTGGCTCAGACAATACAGCCTCACGGACTATTCCATAATCCTAAAATTTTCTTTGTGTCTCCATAAGATACAGTGCCCCCCTCCAGCAGGAAGTAGTAAGCAAAGCTATGCCCAAATTCCCAAATTATATGTAATTTTACTTTGTTAAAGTTAAAACCTTCCTTTTGGGAAAAAAAAGAAAAAGAGAAGGGGAAGTGCTGTGGAATGTTCTGTATGGCAAATGTGTTGCTTTGATTGTTTAGTAAATAAAACACTGATTGTCCAGTAGTCAGACAGGAGGAAGTATAGGCTGGACAAGGAGGAGAAGCATTCTGGGAAGAGGAAGGCTGAGTCAGAGACACTGCTAGCAGCCACCATGACAGGCCGCATGTGTAGATGCCAGTAAGCCACGAGCAATGTGGCAAGGTATAGATTTATAGAAATGGGTTAATTTATGATATAAGAACAGCAAGAAGCCTGCCACAGCCATGCAGTTTATAAGCAATATGAGTCTCTGTGTTTAGTTGGTTGGGTCTGAGCGGCTTTGGGACTGGTGGGTGAGAGAGATTTGTCCTGACTGTGGGACAGGCAGGAAAACTCTAGCTACAATGCAGTGTATTGTATGCTGTCTTTCTTAGCCATCAGTTATGGGTCAAGGAATTCTAATGTGGAAATTGGAATGTTTCCACTCAATGTCACCTCTTATGACCTAGGGAAAAATGCTTACTGCTGCAGTGACTTTATGGCTTGTTCTCCTAGAAATGTGCTTTCAGGAGCTGGAGTATTACTACCTGGAGACACAATAAACATTTCTTCAAATTAGAACCTGACATTTAAGCCTGGCTAACTTGAGCTTTCAATGCTCTGATGTGAACATATTACTAAAGGATTAACAGTGCTAGGAGATGTGATGAGTCCACACTACTGAGGGAAACTTGGTTGTTTTTCTATAATGAAGGAGTAGAAGATTATGTCTGGATTCCCACAGAACCTTTAGGACTATGGTCTGTATTACTATGTCCTGTAATGAATGCCAGTGGGAAATGAAACTAGAACTAATCCATGTAGGATGATACAGAGCCCACGATTTTCAGAATGAAATTAGAGATCACACATTCAGGGAAATTATCAAGACCCTCAAAGGTGCTTGGCTGTTGTGTGGGGAAATAAATAATGAGAGGTAGTAGTATAAGTTTAGTAATACCAGCTAAGATCACATGAACAGCTGTGGATATAAGGATTATTTTTTTGTTTAAGAACAACTTTTTGTGTATAAACAAGCATATATATCAGTATTTGTGATTTAATTCAATAGTTCTTATGGGTGAAGACAGTGATTGATATATTCATTGTTACTAAAGTTATAGGAACAAAAGACTAAGTATTCCTTAAGGGACATCACCATCTACTTTTAAATGTATATTGAATTTGACATTGTATTTACGATTGTTGTATCATATTAGTTGAAACATGTGACCTGGTTATTGTTTTTATAAGGAATAAAGCATGACAGAAGGAGATTTGATTGTGTGTCATGTTGATGTAGCATGGATTTTGATTGTTTAACCTCTGTTTACAACTGTATTGCATCAGAAATAATCTAACAAGCTATTAGAAAATCTTATAACATATTTTCTTAATGAGATTACTGGAAGCAGAAAGACCTACAATAGACATGGGCATCATTTTCTGGTAACAGACCACACAAAGTGTATAGGACAAAAAAAATACAATTTTTAGAGACATGTCCTTACTCATCTACCAAGTCAATCTCTATTGCTGCTCTGGAATTAGTTCACTGATATTAGTTATAGAATCTTTATAATTTCAAGACAAAATGACAATCAGCATCTCTCCAGGAATTTTCACAGACTACAACACCAGATTTGGACTGCTGAGACTTCTAGTCTCTTGAATTAAACTACTGGATTTTCAGTCTCTACAGTGTGAGATATCTATTTCAATTGCTGACCAGCCTGGAACACAACATGGAAACCTACCTCATAAATCCCATAACTATACACATATATGCATTCATTCTCTATGCTGTCTTAAAGAATCCAGACTAATATAGTGCATTTTCTGTGCCCTCATCCTCTACTGTGTAAGTAATGGTTATTATAAGTTCTTATTAGTCTACTCACCAGACCTACTACTATTTATTCTTTCATATGATGGTCTAATATCTCTCTAAAACAAAGAAATAAATAGTACTGTGTGTTTTTATAACCTTTATACCCCATAAAGTCTCATAAAGACAGATGTAGATAAAGCAAATTCCTAACAGTTATATTCTGCTGGACATACTTTTCTTTCTTTGGATCCATGCACTGAAGTATTTGCAAATTTCTGCTGCAATAATGAAATGTTTTCCTGGCGTTGGTGGCACATGCCTATAATCACAGCACTCAGGAGGCAGCGGCATCCAGATCTCTGTGAGTTTGAGGCCCATCTGGTCTACAGAGTGAGATCTACAAAAGGCAAAAAGCTACACAGAAAAACCCTGCCTCCCAAAAAAAACCCCCAAAAATTAATAATGCAATGCTTGACCTGCAGATATAAACATTACTGTTGTGAATTTACTTAATATGTTTATACTCTGAGAACACAAACAGCATTGCAGTGTCAAACAAGTACTTGTCACCAATATCTTTTGGAGATGTAATGCAAATGAATAGAGAGACACACACAGAAGAAAACAGAGAGAGACAGAGACAGAGACAGAGAGATGAAAGAAGAAAGAGTAATATTGAGCATAGTGAAATTTTTGCATGTTATTTTAATTGTTTTTAATGTTTTTTATAATGTAAAACAATTTTAAATTCATATGTATTTTATTCATATTCTTCCCCTCTCTCAAGTGTTTCCAGATCCTCTCCTTCTCTCTATCCTCCAAATTCAAGTTCAGTCCCAAAAAACAAACAGAGGCTCAGTAAAAAAAACATACAAAACCCAAGAGAAGAAAATAAAACAACACTAACAAAGAAAACAAGCCCCATAAAACTGTAACCAAATAAAATCACACACTCAAAACTGTGGAGTTTATTATATATTGATTAACAGCTCCTGCACACGAGGCCTACCCTACAGTGGTTGATATACACACTGTAACTAGATAGGAGAAAACTCAATTTCCATATCACAACAGGTTAAAAAAAGAGTTCATATTTAATGTTTGTGTTACACCATGATGCTTTAATTTCCATGTGATTTCAATATTTTGAAAACTGACTGCAGGGCACACCTCTAACAGCTGACATCAGATGGACAGCATTTCCTTAATTCTCCTTACCTACATTTGTAGAGAAAATGACCCAAAGGACCCAAGCCACATTATGCACATTTGTTGAAGAGATTTAAACATTTTCTCATTTTATTTTGTTTACTTAAATTTATGTAAAGACATCTTTCTATTAACATATGGACAATCATTTTGGGAAAAATTCTATTTATCTTAGAAATTAATGCTAGTTTTTATTCCAAGTACAAAACAATCATATACACTACAATATTAATATATTTCATGATTCTTATAATGCTAGTCAAATAGCAGATTATTAACATAATATTGACTTTCCAAGTTTACATTGTATTGTTTTACTTTTCTACTGTATAATTTAAAATATTTAATTAGCAAATAATGCATCTAGCAAGGGTGCAATGGGAAGGTTTGGGCTATGTGAATTTTGCAATCTAATCTGTACATTCACATTCAGTAAAACTTCTATCACAACCACAGTGGATCAACAAAATACGTACTTAATGATGGTTCAGTAAAGAATATTGATTATTAACTACATTCATCCTCCTTTGTTCTACTCATTCACACTCTTTATAACTGAAAGATTAAATCTTTTTAAGATATTGGGAGTTCACCTTAAACCACTGTTTTCTTTACCCCATGAGTCCTGTCACTATAAAATATATTAAATATTTGCAGAATTCAGCCATGTTAAATGTCCAGAACCACATGTATCTTTGCTGACTGACCCTGTTTCTCAGTGGTGTCTCTCCTTCCCTTACAATTTTGTCATACACACAGGTGCAATCCACACTCCCATTTTGATAGGGTCACTTACCCACACGCTTGACACAGGACTTCCCTTATGAACTTTTGTTGTGGGCTATTTTTCTGTATGCTGTGAATAAGTGTTGTTCCCACTGTTTAATAAATAAATCTGTATTGGCCTATGGCAGGGCAGAATGGAGCCAGGTATGAAATCCAAGAGAGACAGAGAAGAAAAGCAGGAGGAGGGCAGGTGCTATGAGCCACTGCCAAGAGAAGCAACACGTGAGAGAACAGGTAGTGCCCCAAAGCCGTGTGACAACGTATAGATGAATAGGAATGAGTTGAGTTAAGTTAAAAGAGCTACCGAATATAAGCCAAAGCCATAAGTCATACAGTTTTTAATTAATATAAGCCTCTGAGTGATTATTTTACAAGTGACTGTGAGACCATGGGTAGGATAGATTCATCCCCACATTAGGGCTGGGCAGGACCAGGGAAACTTCTGGCTACATTTGATCCCCAATGTTTTAGTAAGAATTTCCACCCAAAACCCGAGAAAGCTTTAAAAAAGGGTTCTAAACTGGAGCGAAGTGCAGCTTCCTAGTTGTGTCTCTCAGGCAAGCCATAATACAAAGATGCCTCAGCATGGAGGCTTCAGCTACAGTATGGTATGTTCAGGGCATGTGGGCTTGACCTACAACATGGCAGATTCCCACCACAGTTCACAGAGATATCTCCAAGCCATACAGTGCATTACGTGGTGGATTTAGCTTTTGATTGCACAGAAAAAAAGGGGTTTTCTGGGCTGCACATGGCTTGATGGAGGCATAGACCCACTGCTTCCTAGAGTTGGTGGTAAACATAGCTCTGCCATGTTAAGAAGCCAAGAGGAGTGGAGTCAGCACCCAAGTATGGTGCTTTGGTCCTAGCCACACTGCAGCTTACAACAATGGTCAGAAGGTAAAGACAGGGCTGGAGAGATGGCTCAGAGGTTAAAAGCAATGGCTGTTCTTCCAGAGTTCCTGAGTTCAATTCCCAGCAACCACATGGTGGCTCACGACCACCTGTAATGAGATCTGGTGCCCTCTTCTGACCTTAAGGTATACATGCAAGTAAGAAATAATAATATTTATTAAAAAAAAGAAGGTAAAGACAATCATAATATGTATGATATATATATGTAATTTAAATATCATTAATAATATGTATAATTTTTATCATTTAAATATATTTAAATATTTTATTTAAATAATAAAATTAATTCCCTAAAAAGGAGAATAAAGTAATAAAAAAACAGAAATTTTTTTGTATCTGTTGAGATTTGTTTT